TAATGGACACTGTCCATTATTATTATCATCAAAGTACAATCAGTGTGTGTGTGTATGTGCTTGCTACAAAATATTCACGGTCACATCATTCTTCTGTGAAAGGGATTGACTGACCATTACATACTGTGCTTTATTTTGGATTCTTTTTGCTTTTAGTTTTGCTGGGTAACAACGGGTCAAATGACTCAGTCCCAAATGTCATTATTATCTTCTTTTCTTTTATTCGTACATTGTGTGGACATTATGACCAGAATTTTTTTGTTTTTGGACCATTATTCGGACGAAACCAATCACCGAGGTAAAATGCCAAACTCGAAAATCGTAGTCATTGTTGTTGTTGTTGTTTATGGCCCGGTTTTTTTGTTTTTATGATGAAATTTGATCATAGTATTTTAGCAAATGAATGGCATAGATTTTGTTTTCATGGACAAAAAAAAACTATCCAAAATGATGTTTTTGTATCAACAGGAATTGTTGTTGTTGTTGTTGTTGAGAATCCTTTTTTTTCTATATATAAAACCCGAGCATCAAATGAAAAACTTTATTCATCCAACCAACCAACCCATCCATTCAGTTTTTATTAGTTTGAATTTGAAGATTCTTTTTTCTGTGAAGAAAAGATTCTTTTTGAAAATGAAAATTTTTTTCTTAAACATTCTGTCATAGGTCAAAGGTCGATGCAAAGCAAAAGAAGAATGCAGCATCTTCATTCATTCATTCATTTGTTGTTGTTGATCGGCTAACAAAAAAAAATTGAAACCTATTTTTAGACCTTTAAAAATGGTTTATTATAACAGAATTTTTTTTTGTTGTAATGTTTTTCGATCATCATCATCATCGTCATTGAAATCGACATAACCCAAAATGACACTCATCATAATAATCGTCATCATTATGATGGAGCAAAGAAACATTTTGTCAAAAAAAAAACATCCTGACCTTTGACTTTTTGTTTTTTTGATTCTTGAATGTTTAAGAGGCAAATTATATTGCTCAGAAAAAGAAAAATTACTTTTTTCCATTCGAAACATTCGAATCCTTAATCATTTTCGTGGAAAAAAGGTATTCGAAAAAAAAATGAGAAAAAAATCATAATTCAAACCGGTCTGGATCCTGTAATAAATAATCATCATGTCATTACAATGTGACCTTTTTTCATTCATTCATTCATTTGGCTAATTGGAACATTTTTGAACAAAAGAAAGCAAAAAATCCACCGACGTTGACCTTTCACGCATTCACAAAGTTTCACAAACGATAAATAAATTCAAAGCATCTTTTGAAGCAAGGTCAACAGATTTAACCCGTTGGTCATTCGTTTGGTTATTAATTGTATGATTTAAAAACAAATAAATCATCATATTGTGAAACACACATAAATCACCAATCAGTAATCAGCATTTTTTGGACATAGAAAATTATTGTCGCCAATCCGTTTTTTGTTGATCAATTCGAATAATCAATGTTCGATGTTGCCGAATCAAGCCAAACGATATTCGAAGCATCAGACCAATGTTGAGGCGATCTTCTTCTTCATCATCATCGTCTTCTCATCATTTTTTTGCAGGCAAGCAGATGTTTACCATATGGTCATTTGACTGGTTGGTTGGTTGGTTGGTCGGTCGAATCGAAAGCAAACAAAGCAAGCAAGGATTGTGTGTGTACAACTTTGGCCAGCTTTTGCGGTGTTTTGTTTAGGTCAAAGAAAAGAAACGCGTGCTATATTTGTGTGTGTATCTAATGTTTGAAATTTGGTTTTTCAAAAAAAAATTTTTATTTTAACAACTCCAGTAGCCAAAACTGAAATTGGATAAACTTTCACTTGGGTAATCAACTCGTTACAAATGAAAGAAAAGAAAAGAGACTTGTCTTGGAGACACGTGCCATCCACCATCCATTCACTCAAAAAGATAGATGAATGAAAAAAGATGTCACCCGTTGACTATTTGACCTCTTTTTTGCTTTGCTTTTTTTTTGTCTAACCAATTTTTAAGCATCTTCTTCGTGGGTTAAAAGATGCAGATGGTATTCTCGCCAACAACAAAGTTGTTGTTGCTTTATGGATCTATCTTTGAAAAAAAATCTTAAAATTTGACAAAAAAAAAAGTTAATAAAGTATAAATTTAGAATCCCAAAATAGTGAAACAACAACAACAAAACTGATTCGTTTACAAGGACAACTTGGTTTTTTCGTTTGCTCTATATTTGATGACTTTGATCAAGCAAAGCAAAAACCTATTTATGGATGTTTTATCTAAAACACTGTGGTTGGTTTGTTTGATGATGGTTTACGACCAATATCATCATCAACATCATTATGCAATGATTTACAATATGGAAAACTGGATGATAATGAAATTAGCAAACAACAACAAAAAAAATTTCTTCAATGAAAAAGTTCATACATTTGTTGTAATTTACGTGACAAACATTATCGATATACAGATTATATTTGACCACTAAGGTAACAAGGAAAAAAAATTGGTCATTTGTTGTTTTGGCCACGATAATAAACAATGATTATCATTATCATCATTTATCGCTGATTCAGAAGAAAAAAAATGTTTTTTCGTTTGGTTTTTTGGCTTGTGCGGGTCAGAAAAAACAACAACATACAACAACCATCGAACAACAAAAAAGTCTCATTGCTGATTTATTGGATCAATAAACATTAAAAACATTTCTGACATGCTGCTTGGTTGGTTGCCTTGAAAAAAACGAAACGAAACGAAAGAAATCCTTATTATCATCATCAATATGACCAGTTAGGTCAACTCGTTATAGCCCCGTTATAAGCGTGCGTTCATTTGGTGACATTTCCAACAAATGTGAATTACTGATTTTGGATTGTGAGCAGCTGTTTCAATCGAATTCAAAATCAAAAATGATGATGGTAACAATGTGAATAAACAAACATAAATTTATGTGAAACAAAAAATCACGAGCTTTTTAACTGGCGCAACAAGTTTTATTTTTTTGAGAAAAAATTTTCCAGGCACGTGCCAACAACTGACTGGACACTTACAAATGGAAAAAAGTTGAAAATTGAAAATATAAACCAATTGACCCCATGTGTACGGAAAGGTTAACGAACAATAATAACAACAACAACAGGTTAAACATTAACGAACAACAGAGAAACAGAAATTGATCCTTTGACAATTTTTTCAATTGTCGATGACCTTTGTGGTGAAACGGTTATTCGCGTTTTGATGATGATTGGCGACAGATTTTTTTTTTTGGTTTTCCAAAAAGCTATTTTAGCATGTTGATATATCACCACCACTATATACACTCAAATTGATACCGTTTTTTTTTCGAACTCGTTCGAATCAAATCGTTCGACCGATCTGCAGAATGTGTCATTGAACTTTTTTTTCAAAAATTTTAAAATTTAAAAATTTAAAAAATATTTCTTTTTCTAAATTCAAAATATTTCGAAATATATTTTATCCTACTGAGCTAGATTTCGTCTTTTTGTTCTTTTAACAAATCACCAATTTTACCACCAAGTGTTCAATCGAAAAAAAACAAGCAAATTCCTTCAAACATCATTATGGGCGAAAAAAAACAACAAAACATTCAAGAATTAACCCAGAAGAAAAAGAAAAGAAAAGAAAACTATTTCCTGTTGGCAACCATAAAATGTATTCACACTTGATGAATACCGAATTGATGACGATCAAAAGTTGGATCCCAGTATTAACCAGATTCAAATAAAGTGACTATTGAATCTTTTTTATTCATTCAATTCATTCATCATTTGCCATGTTTTTTTTTCGAATGTATCAATCTGTCTATATATGTGTGTGTGTGTGTGTGGCAATATCCAACCGAGAATTTTTTTTTTCATACGCAGCAATTTTTTTAAAATTCAGTTTCTCCTGTGATCATTGGAGAAAGAAAAAAAACTCAATCACACAAATCTTCAAATGACAGAACAGCTTCAGAACATTATTGGCTGGCAAGCAGCAGAAGAAAAAAAAAACACAATTGAATTATCATTCGAGAAAAAAAAGGCTTTATTCTTTTGATAGAATTAAGAAGAAGAAGAAATGGAAAAAATATAACAACAACAGAATTTTTCGTCCAAATAAAAAGCAATTCTGGGCTGACTGCCATACAGACAATGTATGATGATGATGATAGTCATCATGTTCCTGTCAATTTTTTTTAGGTATTGTAAACATAAGTGGTTTGTTATAATCAAATTTCTTTGATTTGATTCACAATTGAATTTTCATTTGGAAAATTATTTCCGACAACGACAACAACAACAACAACAACAGAAGAAGAACGGCCTTCAATTTGCCGAACAAAAAAAAATTTTTGTTGAAAGTTTATTGTTTGTAAAAACTAACCAAACCGAATGAAATGTAGCATCTTTTTTTTCACTTACTTCCGATTCAGACAGAAAAAAAAACTTTTATATTATTGATCGGAAGTTAAAAACTCTGTTTATAATGATATAATTGTTTTTCTGCTTCGATTCAAATCCAATCAATCAATCAATCAATCATCGATGACAATCAACACTTGTCATCCGGAAAAAAAAATTTTTGTAAACAATAGTTGGTCATAGTTCGAAGTGTACCCAAACTTATATATACAGTGTTTATAGAATTCGTGATTCTTCATCCGATTTTTTGTTGTTGTTGTTTTTGTTGATTTTAATGACCTCATCAACAGATCAACACATTGAACTTGTTAAAATCAATGTTGTTTGATTGTTGTTGTGTGAATCTGTTTTTTGTTTTGCTTTGTTTTGTTTGGCGGCATGAAAATGAAACAAATCATTTTATGCACCATAAAGTAATCTTTGTGGTGGGTCTTTACTTTTTTTATTTTTTTAATAGATTTTTTGGTCAAAACAAACTAATCAATGTTTGCTTTTTTTTTGTTTTGTTTTTTGAATTAACAGATATTGAAATCATCATGTCGAATCAATCACAATCAATAATCAATCAATCAATAATCAATGATAATAATAATTTGGCAATGATTGATACAAATCATAATGGATCATCATGGTCATCATCATCATCATTGAATCATCATGTTTGTAATAACAATAATAATAGTCTAATTACCGGTTCTTGTCCATCGAATTCTTCACGTTCATCGTTGATGCTTGGATCATCTTCATTAACACAACCAGCAACTAGTACTACAATGGAACCAGATGAAGAAAATCCAATGGCTGATCTTATGTCTTTGTATGGACTACCTTCTGCTACATCATCTTCTTCATTGTCACAAGCGGATCAACATCTTCAATCTATGTTATTGATGGCCGCAATGCATCATCAACAACAACAACAACAATCTTTAGCATCGATTCCTACAAATGTTGCTTCATCTTCCGGTTTGGCTATGACGCCCGCTACAGAACTAGTCAATCGACAAATTCAATCGAATCGATTACCATCAATAAATTTGGAAGGATCTTCATCAATCAATTCAGCAGCTTATCAACATCCAATTCTTATGATGCGAATGATGATGGGTAATCCTTCATTTTTAGATCATCTAACAACACCATCGGCTATATCTACACCGAATGGATCAAACCAGTCACAGCAAAATTCGATCATTATGAATGGAATAAATTCATCGCAATTAGAACTGACAACTGAATGCAAAGAAGCTGCTGAAAAAAATACAACACTGATGTCTCCCAATATTGAAGAACCATCAACTACAACGACCACTATTAAATCGAATAAATCATCTATTAAGCCTAAATGTACAAAACGACGAAACGGAACCGGAAAATCTCGTCCATCAATCAAATGCTATTCAATCAATCGTCGTTTAGTTGAATCGACTGTATCTACTACATCGAAAGCTTCGAATATTGATCCAGATTTATCATCTGATGATCGATCAACTAATCCTATTTATCGTTGTCATCTTTGTCCTTATACTGGAAATTCCAAACTTCATTTTAATGCCCATATGAATACACATTTTGATCATCGTTGTCCACATTGTGATTATACATCACGTACTGAAGGTCGTTTGAAACGTCATATAAGAGATTTTCATTCAGAAACACCACCCGAAACCTGGACCGGTTCCGAACAATTATTAGATGAATCATTAGAAGGTGCTGAATTAATATTCGATCCAGATGGTTGTATGGAAATGTCAGCCGGTGGTAATGGACCTAATCCAGCTCGTAATCGAAAATATCGTTGCAAACAATGTGGTTATGTTGCAATGGATAAACATGATTTTTGGGAACATTCAAAAGATCATATCAAAACTGATCGTATGTTAGCATGTCCAAAATGTAATTTTGTAACCGAATACAAACATCATTTAGAATATCATTTACGTAATCATTTTGGTTCAAAACCATTTAAATGTGGTAAATGTAATTATAGTTGTGTTAATAAATCGATGCTTAATTCACATATGAAATCACATTCAAATATTTATCAATATCGATGTAATGATTGTACATATGCAACTAAATATTGTCATAGTCTTAAATTACATCTACGAAAATATAAACATCAACCAGCTACTGTATTGAATTTAGATGGTACACCAAATCCATATCCAGTTATTGATGTTTATGGTACTCGAAGAGGACCAAGACCAAAAAAATCATCTTTATCTTATACAACAACAACAACAACAAAATCAATTAGATCCAAAGTAATCCGGAAAAATATTGAATCAAATAAATGTAAATTAATTTCTCAATCGAAAAAAGATGATAAAATCAAAAACATTGTTGCTGTAAACAATGTTCAATGTTCGTCGGCTGATTTGAATAACAAAACAATCGAATCACCAAAAATTAACAAATCACATGATTCAAATGATAATGATAATGATGATAATGAACAAGCACAGGTTACCTGTCTTCGATGTAATTATTGTTCATTTCAAACCGAATCAAAACCTGATTTTAGTAATCATTTATTGAATCATGTTGTCAAGGAAAAATTATCACTTCTTAATAATAAACGTAAACAAATAAAACAACAACAGCAACAGCGATCCGTAAATGTTGATAATCAAACGCAATCCAATGAAAATAATGATGAAAAACGTATTGTTAATGATTTGGTACTTGATCTAAGCAAACAAGAAGATTCACAAGATCAATCACAAATGGATACCGATCAAAATGATCCTTTATCATCGTTATTGCAAAATTTTCTTCATCATCAGCAGACAGAACAATCAGAACAAATTGACATTCGATCGAAAACAACCCGACAATTTGTACATAAAAAACGTAAAGGACAAGCACGAAAATTACTTGTACAATCATCACCATCTCATTCACTGAATACATTAGGCATTTTGTCTGAATCGGAATCGATTTCATTATCGTCTCCATCACCATCCCCATCTTTATCTTCGTCTTCTTCAATAGATTCTTATCATACACAATCAAAAGAACCTGACGATGATGATGATGATGATGATGAAGAATCGATACGATCCGATGATATTGTTGTCGATGAACATATGATTGGTTCAGATGATCATAACAACATCGATGATGAATCAAAACAATCTGAAACATCATTGATGATGAATGATTTACCATTACTTACCAAAACATCTTCAATCGATGAACAAATTCAATTTTTAGATTTATATCATCATCATCAACAGCAACAACAACAACAAAATGGAACAGATATTCAGCATCCACTTCCACCAACGCCAAACAAATCACCCGATGATGATGATGATGATGAAAAGTCAGCATTCAATTTCGATATGAAAATCAATGACCAAAAAAGTGAATGCCAAAACATAGGCTCATCATTGTCTGAATGTGATATAAGTCAACTAAAACCTGCATTAGTCGCTGCTCTTAATGATTCATCTAACAATAATTTACTACAGACATTGTTACAATTACTTTCTACCTCAACGAACAATGTTTGTTCCATCACTCCATCTTCATCATCAACGATGTCATCATTATCATCTTCTTCTTCATCATCAAAAATGAATGATTCAAAAACTCTGGCAACAATCATTTCAAAGGGTGTTGGTTCACCGACAACTTCATCATCATCATCATCAACATCATCCTCATCTTCTAAATTACCAATTACATCATTGCCAAACACTGTCACTGCCACCAGAATATCATCTTCATTGAATGGAGAATCTAGTCAGAGCATTGATTGTGTAGCGTCATGTTCCACTAGCAACTATGAAGCTGATACGATCGCCAATAATCTTAATAGTGCAACAGCAGCAGCGGCAGCAGCCTTAGCATTGGCAACAACAGTATCATCGGCCGCTTCAACATCAACGCTTAACGAACCACTTACTAATGTAAACAGTTTGATTACTAAAATGCATTCGGTAACATTTTTAATGCAAGAAATTCTTTTAGAAATGTGGTCGATAAAAAAATGAAAAACAAGAAACAACGTCCATTTGTAAACAATATTCACCCAAGTCACACAAATCATCGCATTTTTTCATTTTGAATGTATACATGTTCATCATCGTCTATGTTTGATGATCACAATAATCGATTATTTTGTGTTTTTTGTCTATTAAATTAATAAATAAAATCAATTTTTTCCAATTCTTCGATTATTATTGTGTTAAAATTGTTGATATTTTTAGCCGGAACTTAAATTTGATTTTGAAGAAAAGAGTGCGCTACTATGGCTATGATCTATAGTTGAGTGAGGTTAGGTTGTTGACTATGACTATGACTATGATCTATAGTTGAGTGAGGTTAGGTTGATGACCATGACTATGACTATGATTCATAGTTCAGTGAGGTTAGGTTGATGACCATGACTATGACTATGACTGTGATTCATAGTTCAGTGAGGTTAGGTTGATTTTCATAGTAACGCACTAGTACGCACGCTTTCCTTCAAAGCCAAATTTAAGGGGAAAATTTTTAAGTGAACAAATAAGTTTCTCTGATTTTTACGAAATTTTATTAGTCATATTCCAATTACCCTAGAAGTGCCATCTGTCGATGATCATTCAAATTTGTACGATAATTGCATCAAAATTAAAATTTTGTTTGATACATCAAGTTTGTCTATGTACATTTGTTAATTAGGTAAAAAAGAGGATAAAATAAGTGTGACCTTACACCAATAAATAGGAACTAAGAATTTGTATGAATAAAATGAAAGAATTCAGTTATGAGTACAATATCGTTCGTCGGATGAATCTTCGAGGCAATCGATGATATGATCACATATCTGATGTCGTTTTAAACATTTGCCCAATGGACATCGATGACCACTTTCACATGCTTTATCATGCACGACCATATTGTTAAATGGCCTATGTGGTTCGTCTACTTGTTTGCCCGTCACCAACATGGCCATCTTCGGATTAGATTCGAATTCATGATTTATACGATAGTCTTTTGCCATAATAGAATGTATCCAGGTTAAATAATTGTAAACTTTTGTATAAACTCCTGGACGACCAGCACGACCACAACCATCACCATTGCTGGTTATACCCAACAGGATCCATTTTCCATTTGCCTTTTGACACATAATAGGTCCTCCACTATCGCCCTTTAAGATGATTCGAACGATAAAAAGAAAATTTATTAATTAGTGTTTACATTGGTCATGATATCGTACCAGACAAGCATCTCGACCTCCATGTTCAAAACCAGCACAGAACATATTATCAGTAATCCTGTACAAAGGCAAGAATAACGTCCGCTTCCTACATTCTTCAGTTGATATAATAGGCAGTGTTACTTCTTGTAAAGTATCAGCTACCAAGTTTTTTAGTATTCGAGGCATTGTTAGAATAGTTTTTGACTTACGGAATATACGCCCATGTTCATACAATTTACCCCAGCCAACTGTTGTGCATAGTTGATTGTTCCAACGATCAATGTGACTATCTTCTTCGTCGGGCAAACATATTGGTCGGATGTACTTACTTGAATTGAAATTTTTAAAAAATCAAATTTTTTTGTTGCATTCTAATTGATGCCTACCTGTATTGTAATGGTTTGTCCAGATGAAGTAGAGCAATGTCGTTAAGAAATCCTCTATCCACATAATCTGGATGAATAATCACACGATCGATGCGACGAATTTCTTCGTACAATGTTCTCTGTAGGCTTCCTCGACGAAGGACACCACTTCGGGCAGTCCAAAATGCACCCGGTGTTCTGCAACCCGGTATTCAATGTTTGAAAAGAAATTGCACATAAAAACGTAAACTACTTACGAGTAAAAACAATGAGCAGCAGTTAGCAGCCATTGAGAATCAATGACAACGGCTCCACATTGAAATTCTCCTTCACGATACAATGCCACTTGCCAAGGCCACGATCCAAACGATGATGATTTACCGCCGATAATTCGTCTTTGAAGTTTAGAACTCATTGGCCGTACACCACATTCTGTTAAGTCACAATCGCAATCAATGTGTCAATGTTTGATTATAAAATGACTACTAACCTATGGTTGAACATTCGATTCGAGCTACTTTGCGTCCTGGACATGAAACCTTTTCAAACAGACTGCTCCAACTAAATATATTAGAATTCAGTAAATCAGGCTAAACTCCATATCAATAATGACAAACTTACATCGATAAAGTTGGTTTAGATGTACTGGGTAATCGAGAATTGATAGCAAAGAATTGTGTTAGATTGTTGAAAGAACTGTTTCTTTGTATGGTCAAGATATCAATTTTTTCAAGTTGAACATAGTAATTAGCTTTGCATACAGCTTGGCCCATATCATCAATTTGAATCATCGATGAGATCGATATCGATGTGGCATTCGCTTCGATGCTTTCATTATCATAATGATGATCAATCCAGTTATCGGTATCTAAATCATATGAATCAAAACATAAAGGTGCCCATACACCTTGATGTTGAATATGAAGAACACCTTTTGGATTATGATTCTCCATAAATGAATGTGAAATCATATCTTTTGTTTGTTCTTGGTCGTCGACTAATGCGATACAATTCTGTTCATCATCACCATTAAGACAATCATTGTTACCATCACAAACTTGGTATCGTTCAATACATTGATTTGATAATCCATGACAGACGAACATTCCCTCTCGACAGCGAGGACCACAATTAATAGTTTCGTCACTGAGATCAGCACAATCGATAACACCATCACAAAGTTTATGTCGGTGTGTTTCATCACGAAGCAGATAATCAGCGCAACGACAATGTAGTTCGTCTGAACTATCTGGACAGTCCAAAATACGATCACAAATTGATTCGAATGGTATGCATTTATTGCCACGACTTGCATTCAAACATGCGAATTCGTTAGTTGTACACTCGATTCTTGGAGCAGCCGTTGTCGTCGTCGTTGTTGTTGTTGTCCTCATAACTGGTCTGGGAACTGTGTGTGTAGAAAAAAAGTTAAAGAAAAAATAATAACGTAAAATCAGATTGACCGAAATGAAAAATGATCACCTTTATCAATAGAATTGTAGTAGTAGAAAGAGCCATGAAGAGCATTGCCCTCGTGACTAGATTGATTATGTTTTTTGTGGTTGATCAGCTTCTTTGAAATTCGCGTTCCATATGCTAACACAGGAATCGTTGATTTAAACATAGACTTTTCAGTCGCTGGCAATTCGGTCGGTATCGGCGTTGTCGATATGGATTGAGTAAATTCATTTTCAATAATAATCAAAGCTGCAACATCATCAGTTTCATTCGAATTGATAATACTTGAATTTGTTGGTTCGGTTGTAAATATTTGTTCATCATTGTTTGACACTGGTTTTAATTTGAATTCATCTTCTAAATCATCATCATCTTCATAATCTTCATTGACAGAATCAAGAATTGATGAAACGGTATGATTAGTATGACCCAATGAATACAGATCAAATGAATCATTCGATACGATCAGAATCTTATCCGTTAAATTCTTGCTAGTGTCGACTTTAGAATCAAAAGCAGCAATGGTCGGATTATTGTCGATAATAAATCCATCGATTGTATTATTTTGTAGCGAAGAATTCCATTGGTTCAATGTTGATTGTGTTTGAATATTGGAATCAAAATCACTTGGTTCTTCTCTAGATTCAATTGGTTTATCTTGAATTGTATCAGCATTCAAAGTAGTCATGTCTTGAAATGATATAGTCGTGTTGTCCATTGCTGATATCGAATCATCATTTGGAGAAATTGTTGTGATCGTTGGGTTAGTGGTCAATTGACTAGAAATATTGTTCTGTTCTATAGGATTTTCTAATTCAGACATTGTTGATGATTGCATAACTGTTGTCGGTTTCGTAACATTATTGTTGACATTATTAGTATTAATGATGATTTTATTATCAGTCATGACGATCCAAGGTTTATTTGTTGTTGGCAAAATTTTTTCAATTGAAACTTGTGAAATTGATGATGTTTTATTTGAGCTATGGAAAAAGTAAAATAAAATAAAATGCAAATCCAATACACACAATCAATGTTTGCGTGCGTGTCATTCAGGAAGAAAATTTGTTTTTTGTCATTATTGACAGTGTGTGTATGCAAATGACCTCTTACCTCGATTCATTTATCGTTTCTGGAATCGGTTTCGATGTTGTTGAGATCTCGATATTGATAATCGGTGTGATTGTTAAATTTTCCACAATCTTATTGGCAGTAGTGGTGGCGACGGTGGTGGTGGTGGTGGTTATGATCTTATCATTCGAATCAAGATGTTCTGGTATATGAAGCTGATTATCCATTCTATTGATTGAATCAGGTTCCAAGTTGATTAGATTTTCTAATCTACGTTTCAATCGCTGTCGATATTGAGGTTCAGTCAAACGTTCAAAAGTAGACAGTTTGATTGATTCGATGTCTAATTTTAGTGAATTATTATTGGTTGCATTTGACCATTGCTGTTGAAATGAATGTGATAATACTTGTCTGACTCTAGCTATAATGACTTGATCATCGAGTAATACATTTTCAATGGTACCAAAATTAATAACTGTTTTCGATTTTTGAATTGCTAAAGCATGATCAAGTGGTAGTTTTTGTGAATAGAAACGAAAAAATACAAGCAAACTACCCTGACGAAAAGTATAGATTTCCGTATATAGCAAAGAATCAGCCAACAAACTATGGCGTAATATATGTTCAATCTAATGATGAAAATTTAAAGGAAGGATTCGGTCAGGTTATGATTCAAAGAAAAGGTATACTTACGATTCGTTCATAGCGCGTAGCTTTGTTACGAAATTCTGATGATGTTTGATTCAACAATCGAATAGTAAAAGAATCACCGGAAACAATACGAAAATTTCCACTTATACCATAGACAAATGTTTGTTCAGTCAAAAAATTTGTCACAATAGCCAAATAAAGTGAGAATCCCAAAACGATGGATAATGATAATAAAATGATTGCTACCAACATAATCAATAAACAACATCCACAAGAACGAATGAGACCATAAGATTTTGATGAATGACTACCATGTGTATGACCACATGACCATGGAGGACGATAATGACCGTTACCGATAAATGGATATGTCCAGATAAATGTTCGACGTCTATGGTCATTGTTTTGTTGGCCATTATGGTCATGGTCAGTATCGAACATAGTTGATGTACAAGTTGATGAAGATGATGAGCTAGTCATTGAAAATGTTGATTCTAATCGTGGTTGTAGTACGGATGGATCCAGATGTTTTGTTTTTGTCATGGATGTTGATTCGCCTAACGAATCATTCATGACAAAACGATCATGTTCATCTTTAGTAAAAGATCCAATCACATCGATAGAGTTGGAACGTTTTTTCATAAGTTCTTCAACATTATTTGCATTCGAAGCATAAGGAAGGTAATCATTTGGAAATCGACATTTAGTAAATGAAAGATCTAATCTTCCATTGATCTGTTGAAAAAAAGGTAAAAACAACAACTCTTAATACGAAATACGAAACATGAAATATATGGCTTTCTATTGTTTATTTTTGACATTGATCACATATATAATAAGTGTTAAAATTGGCCGAAAAAAAACAAAAAAGAATGGACAAATGTTTTTTTTTTGTTCAGGATCTAATATAGTAATTAGTAAAACTAATGAAAGTCATCTGTGTTATTATTTTATTATGGCCATCAATTTTTAGACGATCACCACTGTCATATCAACATTCCAAAAAAAAACTAAAATATCATCATCAGTCATAAATATGATTGTTATTCAAAATTTTTTGTTTTTTTTAATATATCAACAATCATTAACGACAATTCGATTCACATTGATCAGCTGAGTGCATTTAATAAAATGAATGAATCGCATTCATGAAATCAATTGAAAACAATTTGTAAACAACCAAACATCAAATTCAATGCAATCAAATTGCAATGATCGATGATGATCGAATCAAACCAAACTAAACTTTTCTAAAATAGAATCATCATATTCCTTTTATAGTCAACAATACTAATATTATTTTTTTTGTCGCTAATCGTACAATTGTGCTATAACTTTTTTTCATTTTGACATATTGATGATGGTTTTTTTTCTACAACACTCTATTCATCAAAAAGGATAAATCAGCTCAACAACAAAAACAAGGCAAGGTCATTGGCAGTATGACATCCACATATATCAAAGTTATGATTTTCGGATAAAATATTGTCATCATCATCATCACGTGGGAACAATTGTTTGTTTGTTTGATGACATCTCATAATTAGTTTTTTTATTTTGTTGTTGGCATGAGAACGAGGAAATCTTTAACACAAACATTGATTTTGATTATGATGATGATGACAAAATTTAATTAACAATCCTTATATTAAATTCCACCCAAAAAACAACAATGAATATATAATATTTTACCAGAATATAACATTATTGATTCCTATTTCATTGGCTATACTTCCGTAACCAATTCACAATGGGCTTATTGCCAATGACAAAATTAAAAAAAAGGGTAGAATCATAATCAACAAAAAAAAAATCAATTGATCAACTTGTTCCGATTGAATGAACAAATACAAATAAAAAAAAATACCTGTTGCTGTTTGATGGCTGTTGATAAATTCGGATATGATCGATGATTATTAATTTGTTGATTGTCTGATTTAATTAAATTATAACTGGCCGATGTTGATGGTGGATTTATAAATCGAAGTATTGAACCTTCTATATGATGATCATCATGATTATTGTTTGATTTTTGTTCAGTATTGGTTATTGAATGATGATAAGCATGATGATTATTATGATGATGATATGTACAATTATTATCATTTGTAAGATTAAGATGACGATTTTGCTGAATTGAAGATGATAATCCTTGATGAGAAAATGGTTCAGCCATTGATTGATTAACTGATGACCATTGTCGATTATGATGATGATGATCAGTATCAAGATCCAAATGTGATGATTTTCGATTAGAATTATCGTTGACCAGAATAACACTCTTCATTTCTTTTGAATTATTATTTAAGCTGATTGTAATTTGAAACAAAAAATTTCACTAAAATAGCATCACATTCACAGTTTTAAATTGTTTCAGGAAAAATAAGAAGGATCGATTTAAAAAACTATAAAATCAATCGATGGATGGATATGTAAACCCAAAGCTGTTAACACTCACTGATACTGATGATGATGATGATCACATACTGAATAATGAAATTCAATTTTTTCTTCTTCTTCTTCTTTTGAATACAACCGATGATTTGATGTTTTTCTTTTCTTCATTCGGTTTCGGTTGGAACTGTCGGTTCCATCATTAATATTAGCAAAAATTTCTCTTTAAAAATACAGAAAAACAACACTGTACTTCGTCGCAGATGTTAATGTTGTGTTTGTTTGTCTGTTTGAAAAAACATACATACACCGATCAAGATTATGTTTGTCTTTAGCGCTTCACTGGTTGGCATTGAATGAACTTGTTCACTGACTTGCCATCGTGAATTGGACATATACGTGATCCATTCTTCACTGATGATGATGTCTTACCATTGGAAGCCAAAACACTATCAGCATAATAAAAAACTACACAGAATATACCTACATGAAATCAAACAAGAAATTATAACGACAATGACGACAAGTACCTGTCAAATTGGCTGGCTTACCTGTATTGATGATGAATGTCTGCACAGAATCTTGAACAGTAACCAGAAAAAAAACAACATTTTTTTTAACTTTTCATTGCCCTTTCTCATTCACCTGATTGACCAGGTTAGATTTTCTTTTCACTATCATCATCCGAGGGGTTAAATATTCAATTTGGACAATCAATGGACATGCGATACGATGAAGATGATTGTTGAATGAAAGGGAAAAGACCTGTTCGGGCGAATAACCAGTTTTTGTTGATTGATCAAATAGCTTTCGCTTAGATAATAATCGATCATTTTAAATTTGACTGTAGGTTTGGCGTTCAAAATAGGCAACTAATTCATTTTCATTCAACAATTCATTGACCATCAATTTCAATGATTACGAATATAAAAGTATCATCAATTTAACGAACAAAAGTGCTTGATGATTTGAACGAACGAACTAAATTCAAATGAATGATGATGACGTGGGTGCATCCATTTCCTGATGACACACGATGTACTTATTGATTTTTTTTCGACCATGTTGCCAGGTGCCATTCACTTGAATCATTTTCGAAAACAAAATTGACCAATATGCACCTACGTTGAAGATGCCAATCGCCATTAGATACATTCATATATGATTAACATTGTTGATGATAATGATTCTTCATTGATGATTATTTTAGCCATGAGAATTTTCTCAATATACATAATTTTCATTAGTCATGAGAAAAACATATGGATTGAATGATAGTTTGATGGAATAATTTTCTTATTATTATCATCATTATCATCTATTGAGCCATCATCAAATTTCAATCAAAGTTTGTGCCAGCAACTGACCACGAAATTAATTGAATGAAATTGTCTTTGACCTTAAAAAACTAGAAAAGCAAAAACAAACATAATTTAGGTGATTTCGGCACTAAAAAAAAAATCGAACGTTAAATAAGTGACCAACTCGACAAACGAGAGTCGAAATAGTAATCGAATTTTTAAAAAGTAAAAAATCGAATTCTAAAATTTTTTCTTAAATAAATTTAATTCAACATTTTTTTCTAATGATGGTCTATTATTGTTCGATTTTTTTTTTGTTTCCAAATATGAATTTTGGATTGAAATTCTTTTTTGATTTGAAATGAAAACATATTTTGACTAATGGAATAATCATGAATGAAACATTAAATATTGATCAAAATAAACAACAACAACAACAACAAAATAATAATAATGATCATAATAATAAACGTATTTCGTGTAGTGATTCACCAATTTCAAATACATCATCATCAACATCATTATCAATTAATTTTGTACAACCAGAACATTATTTTGTTTTAAAAAAATGGGCAATTATTATTTGGACAGTATGTAGTATTCTAATACAATTATTTCAATTATTAGTTGCATTACGTATGCCTGAACAATCATCTATTGAATTACAGAAAAGATTTTTTTATGTTGATAAACNGATGCCAATCGCCATTAGATACATTCATATATGATTAACATTGTTGATGATAATGATTCTTCATTGATGATTGATTTTAGCCATGAGAATTTACAATATACATAATTTTCATTAGTCATGAGAAAAACATATGGATTGAATGATAGTTGATGGAATAATTTTCATATTATTATCATCATTATCATCTATTGGAGCCATCATCATCAAATTTCAATCAGCAACTGACTAAATGAAATTTATGTTGAAATTCAATCATGAAATTGTCTTTGACCTTAAAAAAACATAAGGAAAACAAAAAAACAAAACATAATTTAGGTGAAATGGATTTCGGTAAAATCGAACGTATTAAATAAGTGACCAATTCGACCAAACGAGAGTCGAAATAGTAATCGAATTAAAAAAAAAAAAAAAAAAAAAATCGAATTCTAAAATTTTTCATAAATAAATTTAATTCAACATTTTTTTTTCTAATGATGGTCTATTATTGTTCGATTTTTATTTTTTATTTTCTGGTTTCCAAATATGAATTTTGTATTGAAATTCTTTTTTGATTTGAAATGAAAACATAATTTGACTAATGGAATAATCATGAATGAAACATCAAATATTGATCAAAATAACCAACAACAACAAAATAATGATCATAATAGTAAACGTATTTCGTGTAGTGATTCACCAATTTCAAAAACACCATCATCAACATCATTATCAATTAATTTTGTACAACCGGAACATTATTTTGTTTTAAAAAAATGGGCAATTATTATTTGGACAGTATGTAGTATTCTAATACAATTATTTCAATTATTAGTTGCATTACGTATGCCTGAACAATCATCTATTGAATTACAGAAAAGATTTTTTTATGTTGATAAACATTTTATTCGGGTAAATATCATTTTGATACAAAAACATTATCATTTCTTTATTAATGTTTATCATTTTCTTTTCCAATTTACAAATAGCGATATATAATAACATTGGCACTTGGTACAAGTTTAACTGCTATATTATTCAATATGATTGGTTTATTAGCATCTATAATTGAAGGTTATTATCTAACAATAATCTATATAATTTATTCAATTATTCATGCATTAACAATAATGATTGTTGATTTTGATTTAAATACACCATTTCTTATTATTTGTTTAATACATTGGTCAATGATTGGTCTTATTATACTTTTTATTATTGATCTTAAAGATAGATATAATTCGAGAAATAATCCATAAAAGAAAAAAAAACAACAACAAAATCATCTGTTTTTATTTTTCCTTTTTTCAATATTACAAATTACAAATGATACAATAAATTAAAAGTTTTTGTTTTTTTCTGTTTGTTTTGATCAACAAAATGTTCCATTAACAGTGATGATTATGTGATGATCACGACAACGACAAGGATTGACTAATTTCACAAAATGTTATTGATTTAATCAATCACAATCAGTTAATGGAAAAAAAGATTGTCTAATCATTCATATTGATGGGTGATGATTGTTGATTTTTCAATTTGATTTACCCGCCGTTGTCATCATCATCATCAACATTGATGATGATGACAGCCACAAGGTTAATCACTAATTGAAACAACAAAAAAAGTGATCATCACTTGTGTCATTGTTTTGTTGATTTTCCATTTTCTATTTTGACTTCGATGGTGGTGACACTCGAATGCCAATGATCATCATAATCATCATACAATGATTTTAGCCAATGTTCATCATCATAATCATCATCTGCATTTATAAGTAAGTTTGTTCCGCCGAGAAAGAAACTATTAACGTCTTTTGGGGAGGAATTTTAATCTTTTTTTTTCAATAATGAAAATGGATTTTTGAGTGAAAGCAAAATGAAGATTCCTTAACGCTGTGTTCATTATTAAGTGATGTTTCGTTTTTTTTCTGTCAGTGATATATGTGATGATGATGGAATGTGAATTTAACGAAAATCCATAATCCAAAACCATTGATTTTCATCATTGAATTTTCTTTTTAAAAAAAACAACAAAAAAAAATTTTCTTTTTAAAACACAAAAACCACAGTGATTATTCGTTACTTACTTTTCAAATACTACCGTCGTTACGAATTGACATTGATCAATTCGATTGATAATCGATTCTATTGTTTTTTCTTTTTATGGAAACCAAAAATCAATTGCTAAATGCCAGTTAGATGATGATAATAGATGATTAGTATGCAGTGAAAAAAAAAAACTTTTTTATAATGATGTTCATTATTGTCTATATGGTAATCATGTTTTTTTTCATTTTCTCTCTCTCTCTTCTTTCTGGCTAATAATCATTTTGTCTACTATTTGTAGATGTTCTTCATCGTATATTCATTACAAACACACATCAACACAGTTAGTGACCACTGTCCAATCCTTGAAGCATCATTTAACCATTCATTATTCATTTTTTTTCGTTGTTTTTCGTAGCTGCTGTTTTGTTGTTGTTCAATCGATAAATCATTGAAAAACACGAGTTTTTTTTGAAAAAACATGGTCATTTTGATTGTTTTTGATTCTTCATTCATTGATTTAATAATAATAATGATTATTAAAATGATCAATCGATGGGTCACACATTTATGAATTGCATTCAATAAATTCAAATTGAAATATTCGTTTTTTCTACTAAAAAAGAACTTCAGCAGCAATTGAATGGATACAGGAATTATATAAATAGAAATGACGATGACAAACCAGCAATTCATGAAATGAAATATGAAAATGAAAAACAAGATAAATATCTTCGTTTTTTTTTTGTTTTGATTGATTTTGAATAATAATGATGATTATCAATAGGATCGTTTTCGTCATTAAAAAAATCATATGATCGAATCGTTTAAAAGATTTTTGTTGTTGTTGTTGTTTGTTTGTTTTTTTGAAATTTTGGACGCCCATATTTGGAAATTGAAACTTTTCAAAATCATCAAAATCAAAAAAAATCCTCGAATAATACCATTCTTGGTGGACAGATGACACTTGAAGCAAACCCATGGAAGAAAAAAAAATGACGTTCGATTCGATTTGATTCGATTCGATTTTGTTTTCACGCATTCCGCTAGCCAGCGCTGGTTCTCCGGTTCATAGTGTTTATGAATGGTTTTCTGGTTTCTATTTGGCTCAGTAAATTGAGTTGTTTGTTTCATTTTACTTGAGTTTGATGCTTTACATGCTTTATTCTTTACTTTCACATTTGAAAAACGAAACAAACTTAAAGATTCGTCATTTTAAAATATTTTAAAATTTTTTTAAAAATTTCAAATCCAAAAAAAAGTAAGTCACATTTTTTTATTTATTTAAAAATATTGATTTTGATGATGTTCAAATCGAATTGGTAAAAGTTTTTTTATCCGTAAATGCCCCCATTGTTAACTATATAAGTTATCGTAAATCGATTGACCAAAAATGAGTTTTTTTTTATTTGCGAATTTTTATCATTTTACTGTTTACAAAATTCTTTTTTTTTATAAATTGCTTCTTCCATTATTATATAATCAAAACCATAATTATTCCATTCGTTACAGAAAACGATTTAAAAAATTTGTAAAAAAATGATGGTGATTAATAATATTGATAATGATGATCATCATCATTACAAGATCAATACCAAATTAATATTTACAAAAAATTTGAGAATTTTTTGTAAAACAAAAAAACTATTTAATGTAACTAAAATGGTGGCCAACGGGTATTGAAATTAATGTTTTATAAAAATAATATATATTGATAAATAATGATGGCCCCCTTTTTTACAATATATAAAAAAATTATTGAGAATTTTTTGTTGTTGTTTGTTTATTATTACTATTAATTGTGCCTACAAATCTTTGAGTTTTCGATTTTCGATATAAAAAAAACTGGGCCAAACACACACTAATGGGGTATAGTAAATTTTGTTTTTATATTTTGATTCTGATTCGGGATATTCGAATAATATATTGTGAAAAAAAATGCTGAAGAGAGAATCATTTGTCATTCGAAATTTATTTTTATTTTTTCGTTTTGCCTTATTGATTGTTGTCTATAAAAACCTATTGCGTTCTTCTACTTCTACTGCTACTACTATTATTATCTTCTACCAAAATGGATTAGATTACAAAATTTTACCGAATGCTAATCAATTCTATTATTTCTTTAGCCGAATATAAAAAGGTATTGACACAGAATATATTCTTTTTTTGTTTTGAGCAACAACAACAACAACAAAAAAAACGAAATCACCATGCCACCACGACGAACAAAACGAAAATCAGTAACAACGGCCAAAACAACAACAGCGGCAAAAAAAATTAAAAAACAACAACAAATTGTTGAAGATGAAGAAGAAAAATCAATTTCTTCATTAAATAATGATGATGGTGAAGAAATAATCAACGAAATGTCTACCATTGACAATGACAATGATGATGATAATAATAATGATAATAAAGTTTCGACAATAAATATTCGAGATGATAATGATGTTATTGATAAAGAAGATGATGATGATTCGAATCACCCGAATGGAATCAACGATCAATCGAATGTTGTTGATCATGATGATGATGACGACGAAGATACAAATGATGGAAATTATCATAATGGTGGTGATGATGATGATGACGATGATATGGTCGATGATGATGATGATGATGATGATGTTGGTGATGAAATTGAAATTAAAGATGAATTGAAAACTTCGAAAAATAAATCAGATTCAAAATCAAAATTATCACCAAAAAAAGTAACATCATCACCATCATCATCTTCGAAAAAAGATGATAAAGAAATGAAGAAAAAACCATCAAGTAAATCCAGTAGTGGGGGTAGCGGAAAAATGGATTCCTCAATTTCAAAAGATAATAAAGATTATGATGATTCATATTTTAAACGAATGCATCGTAGAGCACAGGACAAATTTCATGATCCAACTGATGAAGGTAATTTTTGTTTTTGCTTGTTTTTTTAATTAGCCTTGATAATAATGTATTATTTTTTTATTGCTAATCTAGAACTTTTTATCGAAAATCTTATGGGTAATATTAAAGGAAAAGAATTTAAACTATGCAAATATCGACATTCATCAGCATGTTTAGTTTGGTTATTGGAAAATATGAATGATTTTAATAAATCACGGAAAATTATTGATAAAATATCACCAGAATTATTTACAATTGAATGGGCAACCGATGTTAATACACATGCTGTATTGGAAAGTAGTTATGATATATTAATGAAAGAATTGGCTAAACAAAAAAATTTTGAAACCGATACGGCTAAATGGATTATAAAATGGATGGATGGTGTTGCTAAATTTGTTATCGATAATTTAAAATCATTTTTAAATGAATCGACTGAACGTGAAAATCATTTATTGATTACAACTATGGAAGCATTAGGTGGTATTCGTATTGGTCGTGGTTGGAATCGAAAAAATATGCGTTTCGGAAATGGTATGTAAATTACATTGTTGATTTTGTAAAATAATTGATAATTTTTTTTTGGTTTGTAGCTGCTGGTGCTAAAATCGATCTTGAAGCAATGATTTCTGGCGATATGATTGTCAAAGAAATACCACAATCATCAAAACATTTTCTTAAACGTTTAGCTAAAACTGTCATATTGGATGCACCTGAAGATGAATGTCGTGATTTAATTTTTTCACGTTGTACTAGTGTTGGTCTATATTTATTGTTTATATTGAGAGTTCGTTATACAGAATTATGTCAAATGATTGTTAAAAAATTGGTGGAAATTGTTTTCGCTACGGATGAAATACGCGATCATATTTGTCAATCAGCTAATGGAGCTTATATCGTTGAAATTATGTTGTTGGTTGCGTCGGAATCACGATTAAGTAAAATTTGGACTAAATATTTGAAGGTAAACTCTCAGATTCAAGATTTTAGCCATTTTTTTAAAGTAAAAATTTTCAATTTTTTTCTAGCCCAATTTGAAATTATTCTGGAGGCATGAAATTTCTCAATTTATCATTCAACGTTTGATTGATGCTATCAAAGAAGAGAATCTGGTTAGTTTTTTTTGTTGATATTTTTTCCCAAGAATTTTTTTGATTGACCATTTTTTAATCCCATTTTAGTTCTGCGATGTTTCACAGGATTTGTTTCCTGATCTCAAAGAATTATTTAAAATTGGCCGTTCTGGTATTGGTGTTTGTTTGGCTAAAAATTGTCATGATCAACCAAAAATGCAAACACCATTGGTGACTGCAATGATGAAAGCATTCGATTCATATGAACCAAAAGATAAACAATTGAATGTAGTTCCACAGATGTTATTCTATGAACCATCACCAAATACTGATCGTCGTGATTCACATAGTCGACGAAATTTTGCTACACAAATTTGGCTTTATGGTTCTTTAATGTTGCAACATATGTTCACCTATAAAGATCCATATAAATTATCTAAAAGTTTGCTATCTATGTCCATTGATAATCTTATGCGTACCTGTCAAGATCGTAGCGGTAGTCATGTGATTGATAGTTTTCTTCAATCATTAGACGTTGAAATGAAACATAAATCCGATTTAGTCGAAAGGTTTGTTGTTCGAATCGTTTGGAAAAAATTTTAATTTTTTTTCCTCTTGCATATAGACTTTTGGGTAAATATCATTTGCTTGCATGTAACAAATATGGTTCACGTATTGTTGAAAACATTATGAAATTATCGAATGAAGAGGTTCGTACGGCTATCACACAAGAATTGTCGAAAAAAGAATCTTTATTAATGAAAAATCGTAACGGATGGTTTGTGGCTAAAAATGTTGGCATTCATCATTTCAAAAAACGACCAAATGATTGGCGTGATGTTGAACGTGGCCGAATGCGACGAACTCGTGAATTTGGCCATTTCAATCAAATAACAAAACATCGACCGGACAATATGGGTGGTGATCATCGACCTAGCTTTGGTGGACGTCCATCATTCGGTAATCATGATCGTCGATCATCACCGGATAATCGTCGTCGTGATGGTCGTCGATTTGAACGACGTGGTGTTGGACGACGATTTCATTAGTTCATCAATAGATCTCTCATCTATTTCTATATTTTGAAAACAAAACAAAAATAATTGTCATCAATCGATTTCTCATTTTACATTTCAAAGAAAAAGAAGATGAAAACAAAAAAAAACGGCAAATTCTATCTTCAAATTCGGCCGACCATTTAAAGAATAATTCCTTAATTTCATTTTTGTGTAAAGCTCTCATGTAATGTTGATCCGTTTTTTTTTCGCTGTTTTTTTTGTGCTGAAAATAAAATTCCTCATTTTCATAATTTCTTTTTTTGTTTGTTTGACCATCAAAAATTAAATTAAAATTAAAAAAAAAATATCGACAAATTCGAATTCTTTTTTTTTTTTGGTTGTCTATTTCTACTTAATACTGTTTACACCTAATTGGATCTATTATAAATCGCGCTATACTTAACTAACGAAACAATCATCATCACTAAAACGATGATAATGATGATGATGATGATGATGAACAAAATGATTATTGAGGAAAAATGGCCGGCGGTAATAAGCAAGTACGTACGTATACCGAGTTTTTCTTCTTTTTTCTTGTCAAGAAGAACGCGCGCATAATTTTGTGTAGCATCATTTTTGTTGACCGTTAGCATAATCCAAAAAAAAGGTAGGAACATGAATTTTTTTTTCTTCTCACATATAATGCTACTATCACCGGGAAAACCACTATTTTATACGCATAGTGTGAGCAAAAAAAACTATGCTAGTAGCATGGATGATTGTGGAAAGAAAAAAAAAATTTTTTTTTTCATCATTTTTTTTTGATGGTAGCGGTATATTTTTGTGATATGTGGTATGAAAATGAGCCACTAAAAAAAGAAGAAAAAAAAGTTGACGTTGATTTGTGTTGTGCTGTGTGTGTTTGTGACGATGCTGTGTATCGAATTGAACGAACTTTCATCCATCCAGCAAGCAAGCAAGAATCTCCTCAAATACTATCTGCAACACAAAAAAAAAATACTAACATCAAACAACAACAACAACAACAACAGCATTGACTGAAAAAAATAAACCCAGTCGCTAAATCTATTCTGATTCCATCAGATCTCATAATAATTTTATNATGATGATGATGATGAACAAAATGATTATTGAGGAAAAATGGCCGCGCCATTATTCGTTCATGCATGCATATGGCTCAAAAAGAAGAAAAAAGAACAGTTTGAAGAACGCGCGCATAATTTTTTGTGTGTAACATTTTTGTTGACCGTTAGCATAATCCAAAAAAAAGGTAGGAGCATGAATTTTTTTTTTCTTCTCACATATAATGCTACTATCACCGGGAAAAAGTGAAAGAAAAAAAAGAACCACTAATTTTTACGCATAGTGTGCGAGCAAAAAAAACTATGCTAGTAGCATGGATGATTGTGGAAAGAGAAAAAAAAATTTTTTTTTTTCATCATTTTTTTTCGATGGCAGCGGTATATTTTTGTGATATGTGGTATGAAAATGAGCCACTAAAAAAGAAGCAAAAAAAGTTGACGTTGATTTGTGTTGTGCTGTGTGTGTGTTTGTGACGATGCTGTGTATCGAATTGAACGAACTTTCATCATCCAGCAAGCAAGCAAGAATCTCCTTAACTATCTGCAACACCAAAAAAAAAAAAATACTAACATCAAACAACAACAACAACAACAGCATTGACTGAAAAAAAATAAACCCAGTCGCTAAATCTATTCTGATTCCATCAGATCTCATAATAATTTTATGATTTTGTTTCGATTTTTTGTTTGTTTGTTTTGCTTTTCAATCAATTCAAATAAAAGTGAAAAACAAACGATAAATATTACGAGAGAAAACATTGATCATTTTTTTAAAATTTCGCAATCATCATTAATAAGATTCAATTATGATTCAATGATGATCATCATCATCCATTATAAATGTATGATTTGAAAATCGAATGATTTGTTTTTTTGTTTTGTGTCAATAAATATCGTGACGTACGTATCAACAAACTATTTTTAATTCATCGTATCAGAATTTGGAACCCAAAAAAAGAATAATAATAATAATAATAATCTAAAAAAAAAATTACTATCCATCGTATGGATACTGAACAACCACCACCAGCAACAACAACTATAACCATGACTGGAGTCGATTCAATTGCTGGTGGTGGTGTTGCTGCTGGAGAAGGTGGTAGCAATGATGATGGTGGTGTTATTAGTGGTGAAAATATTAATACTACCGGAACTAATAATGGTACACATAATGATGAAATAATTAATAAGAATGGTGATAATAAAACAGAAACAACAACAACAACATCATCAACAATTGATATTGATATATTTGGTGGTAATAATAATGATGATTCTGATGGTACAATATCACAAATAGTTGGCCAATTAGAATCATCAATAGAATTATCATTATTAATGGATGAAAAAAATTCATTACAACCGCCATCTATTTCATCATCATCATCATCTACTATTCAACCAACAACAATAAATCAACAACAATCATCATTATCAATAAATTCCCAGGATATATTACCATCAATGAATAATAATAATAATGATAATAATACGAATAATAGTGATAAAAGTGAACATTTATTGAATGAATCACAACAACAACAACAACAAATTAATACGTCATCACCTCCCACTACAACAACAACAACAACAAACGGATCATTATATAATAATGATAATCATTCATTAAATTTTCAATCATCATCATCATCATCTTCAGTTGATAATATTGTAGCACCACCACCACCAATAACAACAACAGCAACAAATGTTTTCGATAGTTCTAACAATGAACAAGAATCGAATCAAAATAATAATAATAATAAAAATGATGATATGTTGATGAATCATGTTAAAAATTCAAATTTATTATCATCATCATCAACAGCAGAATCTCAACCTGAACAACAACAACAACAACAAACATTCGAATCATCATCAACAACAACAACAATGACTGGAGCTGGTGGTAAAAGAATTTTATTAAGTGCTAATTCACCACAACCTGTAAATAGTTCGGTAAGTTGATTTTGAAAAAATTGAATTATTAAAGAAAAAATGTATTGTTTTAATAATAATTACTTTATTAGATTTCTAATATGACACAACAAACAACATTGTTAAAATCAAATTCAAATTCATTAACAAATGGAACAATGACACCACCAGAATCGCCTTCATTATCATTATCTAATACATCATTGTCGACAAATACGACAGTAGCATCATTATCATCATCATCATCATCATCATCATCGATACAGCAACAGCCAATTGCAATTGGCCAATTAAATTCAAATGTTGTACCTCAACAACAACAATCAAATGTTATACCATCAACAACCATAACAAATAATACAACTATGCCATTAATAACATCATCATCATCCGTATCAACATCCTTACCGGCAATGATTCGTTCAACACCTATTTCGATGATAACAACACAAATTCAGCAAACAAGTGCAATAACAACATCAACAAGTTGTTCACCATTTGTGATGACAACAAATCAAATTAATAATAATAATAACAATAATGTAACAAATAAAATGCCAATGGCACAAAAAACTGCGCCAATTTTAAATTTACAACAAACAAATGGCGGTCAACAACAAATGTTGATACAAACACAACCATCAACAAATCAAACAATTCGTACTAATCATCATCAAATTCAAATGCCACAAGTATCATTATCTAATTCAATTGTATTGGATCCACGAGCACAACAACAGGCTCATTTACAGCAACAATTAGCTAATGTTTCTGCACATAATCAATCGAATCTACAATTTCAGATTGTCAATGTAAATAGTCCTAGTCGTAATACATTACAAATGCCTACAGCCGTTTCGGCACCTGCTGGTTATGCTGTTTCAAATATAATCACTGGAACAAGTGGCACAACAATTCAATCAAAAACAGGTACTCCGATGCAACCACGTTTGGTACAATTTCAAAATTCTCCTGTACGATTACCTAATCGAGCGACAAGTTTTGCATCTCCGGTATGTTTATTCTACACGATATATTTTTCTATTTCTAAATGTTTTTTTCTTCTTTTAGCTCACATTTCCTGGACTAGTTCGTGGACAAGCTATATTTGTGAAAACTGAAAATGGCCAAATGCATATGGTAAATGTTAGTCCACAGGCATTAGCAGCTGCTTCACCTCAAACAGTAGCTGGTCATCAATTATCAGGATTACGATTACAATTACCAACTGCAGCAGCACAAACCGGAACAGCAAATATATCGACAACTGGTCCAACAAATGTTACAATACAACCTCCCACATCTTCAACTATACGAACACAATTGAGCGGTAATCAGATTGTTTTACCTGTTTCATTAGCAGCAACCGCTGGTGGTAATACACAAGTGGCTACAATTCCGGCAAATAAAGTTTCACAAATATTACCACCATCTCAAATGATTGCTGGTAATGTTTCGATACCAACACCAACAATGCAAACTATCGTATCGACACAATCATCGCCATCAAATGTTACATCAAATTCAGTGACAACATCCGCATCAAGTGGACATCAAGCACCACAATTAAGAGTTCATACAACAGCTACCAATTCTCAGGTCAATTCGGCAGCTCCATCACAAATGTCACCAACAACAGCAAAAATGAAATGTAAAAATTTTCTATCAACATTGATTCGATTGGCTAGTGAACAACCGGAAAGTGTTGCAACGAATGTTAAATCACTTATTCAAGGTTTAATTGTATGTACCTCATTTGTTTTAATCAAAAACTGTATTAGAATTTGGTTGTCATGTCATTTTGTTTTGATCCTGATTTGATTCATCTTGAATATAATGTGTGTGTGTGCCATCATCACTAATAATATATATCCTCTGTCGCTATAGACACAAAAATGCTCTAACGAACTAAAAGGAAAAAACAAAACAGAAAATGACAAAACAGAAATTTTTGTTAGTTGGAAGCATACAAAATAAGTAATTCTTAGCTTTAAATTAGGCGGCATTTTTTTGTTTTGTTTAGTATTTCTTGTATTTTGAAATCAATTGGATCCAAATTTTCATTTTCTATTTATTCATCGTTCAACATTGTCATCGACAGTATAGAATCCGACACAGGCAACCGCTAAAAATATTAGAATCGAAAATTTTTTTATCATTTTTAAAAATTGTCCATTCTAATAATAATAATTTATTTCTATGTTTTATCAGGACGATACAATACAACCAGAAGATTTTACTACACAATTGCAAAGAGAATTAAATTCCTCTGAGCAACCATGTCTTGTTCCTTTTTTAAAGGTTTGTTGTAATTATGAAAGAAGATTCTTTTTTTACTAATATTTTGATTGAAAAAAAAACAGAAAAGTTTACCTTTTCTTCGATATTCATTGATGAAAGAAGAGCTAAAAATCGAAGGTGTACGTCCACCACCACCAAGTGCTACAATGGCCTATCCGTCCAATCATCATCCAATGGCAGGTGCACAGAATTTGTCTCATATTCAAGTATGATTGAAAAAAAAATTGAATTTTGAAAAATGAAACATTTTTTTAAAAAATAATTTTTCTTTGCACATAGAATATCAGTCCGGTTCCTACAATTTCACCACAATCTCGACCATCACCATTGCCACCAGGTGTTCGTCTATTAGGACCAAATTCTAATCTAATGACGACAGGAAATGTTCCTGCTGGTGCCCAGATAATAACATCATTACAGCCACCACATCAACAACAATTACATCAGCCTCCACTTGGCTCTTCCAATCATCTTCATCATCATCATCAACAACATCAACAAAATTCATTGGGTCCTATAGTTTTAACATCGCCAAATCATCATACACATTGTCCAACAATTACTTCACATACAGGTCATCAACATCCTGGCTTAATGTCAATGTCAATGTCTCCGAATATACAAACAACAAATACCTCATTATCTCATCAGCGTTTACCTATTCATTCTAATGTTCAGCAACAATCTTCACCATTGTTGTCATCACCTTCATCGTTAGCATCGCCATCATTGCAAACACCACCACCAGCTAAGTCGAAAAAATCTAGTTCAAAATCAAAAGCCAAATCGGAAAAAGCAAAAAAAGAAAAAGCTGCTGCTGCTGCTGCGGTAACCTCTGTCGCTTCAACGACATCTTCATCCACGGCGCCTTCAGGTTCTATTATCGTTCCTGGTGGTGAACGTAATGCTACGGCAACCGCATCATCATCATTTCGTGAAGATGATGATATTAACGATGTAGCTGCAATGGGTGGTGTGAATTTGGCCGAAGAAAGTCAACGGATATTGGCTGGTAATGCCGAAATTATTGGCCAACAAATTCGTTCCTGTAAAGATGAACCATTCTTATATACATCACCTTTACAACAGAAACTAAATAAAATAGGTTAGTGACAAAATATTGAACAATCATTTTTGGTATACAACTGTTGCCATGGTGAAGAATTTTTTTTCCGAATGTTGAATTCTAAACAAATTTTGTTTTTGTTGTTGTTTTTTTTCTCTTATAAAATCCAGTCAAACGATACGACCTCGAAGATTGTTCGCACGATGTAGTTGCTTTGGTTTCACATGCTGCCGAAGAACGTCTCAAAACACTAGTCGAACATTTGGGAGCAATTGCAGAACATAGACAAGAAAATCTACGGGTATGATTGTCTATCACATGATGAATTTTTATCTAACTGTTTCATTTCTGTTTCATTTTTTTAAAATCAGACTAATCACAACTATGAAATTGTTCAAGATGTAAAAGCTCAGGCACAATTTTTACAAGAATTGGATCGAATCGAAAAACGTAGACATGAAGAACAAGAAAGAGAAGTTTTAATAAAAGCAGCCAAAGTAAGAATTGTTTATTTTTTTTATTAAAAGCAAAATTTTCAAAATTTTTGTTTTTTGTGTTCTGCAGAGTCGATCAAAAGTAGATGATCCTGATCATATTGCAATCAAAGCAAGAGCTAAAGAAATGCAACGTTTAGAAATGGAAGAATTACGTCAACGTGAAGCAAACAAAACTGCCTTACAAGCTATTGGTAATCCAAAAAAACGATTAAAAACAATGAACAACAATTCTACAAGTTCAACAAGTTTATTATCTGGAAATGATGGTGATAATAGTGGTGGTGTTGGTGGTGGTGGAAGTATATTTAGTTCATTAAATGGTAATACCAATAAAACTAAAAATAATAATAATAGTTTGAATATTGGTCAATCAATATTTGGATCATCATTTGGTTCATCTAGAACGGTATGTTTTTTTTGGAATATTTTGTAAATTAATTAATAAAAAATTATTATTTTTACAATTAGACAATCAAACGATATAAACGTGTTACAATGAAAGATGTATTATTTATGATGGAACGTGATCGTACAATGGTTAGATCAACAACATTATTTAAAGCTTATTCTAGATAACATTTTAAAAAAATATTTATCGAGTCATATTTATCATCCACATCATCATCATCATCATCATTTAAAAAAATTTCCCGTTCTTTTTTTTGAAAAAAAAATTTACACAAAATTTGAATATCAAAAATTTGTTTGTTTTTCTTTTTTGCTTAATGAAAAAAATGTTATTTTTCATTTTCTCATTTTTTTTGTTTCCGTTTTTACCTCTTAATTTTCTTTCTTTTTTGATACCTCTTCTTTGGTTTCAGAACGAAACAAATCTTCTTCTTTTTTCGGAAAAACACAGACATCAAATCATCATCAACAGGGGAAAAAATATGAATTTTTTCTCTACTTCTTCTCATCCAATTTTTCTAATATTATAATTTTTGTTGGCCTATAAAAAAAATAACTTTTTTGTTTTTATATATTATACAAAACAAATATAAATATGAATATATTGTGAATACTTGAATATTCAAAACGAAATTGTAATTAATTTGAAATATGATAATAAAATTTGAATTTGTAAAAGTCCATTTTTATTACAAGATTTTTTTTTTTCAAATTTCTCCCGCCATGTACCGTAGTATTTGAAAAGACCAAAAAAAAAAAAATTTTTCAACGAAGAGGAGGAATAGAGGAGGATGATGAAGTGAACAATGGAATCGTGTGTGTTTTGGATAGAATGAGCACCAAACCAAAAAAGCGAGTAAATGCCGTACCATATTTGTATTGATATCAATGAAAGCAGCACTATCGCGCGGTGTGTGTGTTGTGTGTTTGTGTGATGTCTTTGTGTCTCAATATCGTGAATTGAGTAGATTTTTTTTTTGTTTCGTTTGTTTGGTGTTTTTGTGTTTGATGATTCGGATTGATTCAATTTGTGGACATTTTAGAAGAATTAATTGTAAATTTTTCAATTAAAGTTTATTATTTTGTTTTTTGTGTAAAGTTTGTTTTTTTTTTGATTTTGCTCGATGAATCGAATCTTTTTGATTGTGTTTGTGTGTCTCTTAAGTTTTCATGTGTTTTGAATGCATTTTTTTGACCAATAAATCAAATAAACATTCGTCATCATTTTTGTTCTCATTATTATTCATAATATTGTCATAAATATTGATCTCTGATTGATTTTCTAAAATATATTTCTTTGTTGGCAATACTTCTACAATTATTATACACGGTTATTGGACACGTTATAATCAATCCAGCCAATAATCATCATTTCAATTTAAAGTTCAAGTGTTTCGAAGAAGAAAATTTCTTCGTTTCCTTACTATAAATAAAAGCGTTCAATTTGATTGCTTGTGAATTTCATTATTAGTTATTTTTTCTTCTTTTTTGTTGTTTTGTTTCGTTTCGTTTTTGGTTTGCATACCATAAATTTTGTAATCTCCACGTTGAATATTTTTTTTTGTTTGATTGATAATTTGAAATTATTTGAATTCAATTTACACTGGTTGAATATTATTACAAGAAAAAAATGTCGACAACACCAATGAATCCTACACCATTTTTTGGTTCAAAAATATCATTGATTTCAAAATCCGAAATCCGTTATGAAGGTATTCTTTATACAGTCGATCCAAAAGAATCAACTATTGCTCTTGCTCAAGGTATATCTTCAAAATGATTGTCATATATTTTATTTGATTTTGCATTAATAATTTGTTAATGTAATGAATTCTAGTACGATCATTTGGTTCGGAAGATCGTGTTGTCGAGAAACCGGTACCACCAAGAGATGAAATATTTCAATATATAATATTTAGAGCATCGGATATAAAGGATTTAATTGTTGATAAACCACCATCACCCGGATTAACTGATCCTGCCATCATACAAGCGGTATGTAATTTTTGAAAAAAATGTTCCTTTTTTTTGTTGTTGTTGTTGCAAACAGTTGAAATATTCATTTTTGATAGCATTCAACTACATCACAACCATCACCGTTTCCATCATCATTTTCGCAGACTACATCCAGTGGAACAGCTTCGGGTATTAATGCTATTGGTAGTGGTGCAGGTACTTCAGCATCATCTCTTCAACAACAATTACAGCAAGCTGGTATACAGAATGCATCAACTGCCGCTGTTGGATCAAAATCATCCGGTGGTCAATCATCTAGCTCTGTGCAACATCATGAATCATCTAATAAACAGGCTAATAAACCTAATGCTAGTAGTGCCCAGATTGCTTCGAGTTCTAGCGGTAGTCACGCACATCAACAAGGACCGAAAACTCCTGGTGGCCAGAAACAATTGCCACAACGTACACCGAATCAAATGAATCGTCAACACCAATCTCAACAACAACAGCAACAACAACATGCACCAACATCGCATCAAAATAATCGTCAAGATGGTTCAAGTGGTGGTTCATTTATGAATCGTCAAAATAATTTTGCAAATAGACGTAATCTTAATCAACCACGAGGTGGTAGTGGTGGCGGTGGCGGCGGCGGTGGTTTTGGACAGATGAATGGATTTCAACAACGAAATGGTGGTATGAATATGGGTGGTTTTCAACGAACCTCATTTTCGAATAGATTTCAAAATCAACATGGTAATCATCGTTCGAGTGGTGGTGGTATGGGTGGCTTTAATAATTTTATCCGTCGTCAAAATAATCGAAATTTTGTTCCAAATCGTACGGCTGGTCATCATACGAAACCATCATTGGATGTACCTGATTCAGATTTTGATTTTGAAAAAGCCCAAGATGAATTTAAACAATTAGAAGAAAAATTGGCTGGCTTAAGAGTAAATGGTGATTCAACAAATAATGCTGCTTCAAATTCAGATGCAGAAACACCTAACACTACTAGTGAACAAACGAATGCTTCTCCTAAAACGGAAACTGATAAGGATGCATCGAAAGAAGGTTGCTATAATAAAGAAAAATCCTTCTTTGATCAAATTTCTTGTGAAGCTTTGGAACGTACAAAAGGGTATGTCATTCATATTGACCATTATTGAAATTTGAATTAGAATTTTTTGTTTTTTTCATTTGTAGAAATGTTCAACGTGTCGATTGGAAAGCAGAAAGAAAATTAAATCGTGAAACGTTCGGTATGGTAGCCCCAATGCGCCGTAATAATGGATATCGATCAAACAATCGTTTCGGTGGTTATCGTAGTTATCAACATAATTATCGTAATCGAAGTGGTCAACAAGCTAATCATTCAGGTGGAAGTGGGGTAAATAATGCTAATAAACCACAACAAAATGGTGTACCTAGTTCCAATGCATCATCTTCGACCAATAATGCAACAACGGTAGCATCAACTTCTTCTGCCGTAGCCGTTTCATCTTCAAATCTTGTATCCGTATCGCCGGCTAAAAATTAATATTTACTTAGCCTAAATGATGACCGTTGATTACGTATTTTTTTTGGCTGATTTTCTTCATCAAAAACCAATGAACATTCTCTTTTTTTTCAAGAAAATTTCTATTTCATCTAAACTTCGATTTGTGCCGTTCCAGCCGCCCACTCACCTAATCACCCACCAACCATTCATACAAACAACAACAACCACATTTAATCAACAACAATTCTGATGTTCTCTCTCTCTCTCGTACTCTTCACATACACACACACACTTAATTCTCATTTGAATAATGGGAGATACAATCGATTCTTTGCTTAGTTTTTGAATATATTCTTTTCACTCTCACACACACTGTTTGTCCACACACACATATACACATTACCCATTTATAAACATTATCTAATATGATAATTATTGAAATCTACTTTAATCTTCGATTTTCAAATTATATTTTTGTTGATTAAGAAAAAAAAATAAGTTTTTGGATACAAAACAAAACAAAAAACATTTAAATGATTGAGAGACATCAGTAAAAAAACATTTAAATTTTCACAAAGTAATCATTTCATTCGAATTCTGATTTGGCTATATAATTATCAATGATTTTTTTTTCTAATTGGAACAAACAAACCGAACGAAAACAAATAACTTTCCCTTCTTCATTACACTAATCAAATCAAATTCATTATTAAACAAAAAAAATATCAATTGTTTGATTACATTTGATGGCCATTTACTATTTGTATACAAATTGATTGGTAAAAGGTTTTTTTCTTTTTCTTTTTTTTTGAAAACTGAAATACCAATGTATACAGGATAAACAAATGACATGATGATGATGGGAAAATGAATAGAAATTATTAAAATGAAATAATTAAATTTATTTACTAAAAGTCTAAATATTATTGAATTGAATCAAATCCTCATTATTGTTCTATTTGAGTTTCTAAATATTTTCTTTGTTCATTACGGAATAATTGTTTTGTTTGTTCACTTTCCATAATGGTTAATGTAGATGCAGCAATTACATTGATTATTGCAAAAATCGACCATGATCGACGATGTTTTAAGAATAATTGTTTAAGAAATTTATCCCAAACATATTTTCTTGATTCAGGTCGTATACCAAAATCATCAGGTATTGGTTGTGTCAGATATTTTGCAGCAAAATATAATGATGATCCAGTTATGAATACAATTGGATAAATAACCGATGTTGTTAATTGTGTAAATGTTGATCGAATTAAATATTTATAATGATTATCATTCGGTTTATCGATGATCGGACTAGTTATGAAAGCAAAATGAATAGCAGTTCCTAAAATTGTCTGTATGGATTGAATTTTTTGAAAAAGAAAAATTATCAATACTCGAATGTAATTATTCAATATTAAACATACAGAAAAAGCTAAAGATGGTGTAATCGTACTGAACCATGCTAAATTTTGACGATTTAGACCAAAAAATCTTCTTATCTGTTGACCAATGGTTATATTGGTTATTGTATTCAATGCAAAATAATATTTATATTCATGTCGAATAGCCCATGTTTGTTTCAAATCATAATCCGATGATATTTTCCATATTAATGATAATCGTTTAAATTGATCCGAATCATTTGGCCAAAATGGATATAATCGATTTTGATGTTTATTTGATTGTTGTTCGGAAATTGTTTTTTTCAATAAATCTCGATCAATTGATAATGATGAATTCATTGTTTTGTTTCAAATCGAACGAATTAAACAAACAAAAACATGTGACCGTGCTATGTGATATGATTAGGCACGCCATCTATTGGGGAAAATCAGTAGGAAAAAAATTCAAATTGAATTCAAAATAATTTGATTAAACAAAAACAAAACAAAATTAAGGAAATAAAAAGTAATGAAAAAAATCAATATTTAAATGTGTTTTGTAATTGAATAATTTATTCGAATCATAATTCATTCATTCATTCATTCATATTATCCACAAATAATAAATAAATAAATAATGAATTCAAAAAATCGAAAAACTAAAACAAAAGGAAAAACAATGAAAAAATCTAAAACAACAACAACTAATAGAAATAAATCAAGTAAAACAGGTAAAACATATCTAATGCGAATAAAATCAAATTTGAAAAAAACTAAAAAAACTACAACTACTATAAGTAAAAGAAAAAGAAGTCCAAGATCAACAACAACAACGGCAACAAGTAAAAATCAAAAAACAACAACAACAACAACAAAAAATCAATCAATAAAGAAAAAAACACCATCATCACCACCAAAATCAATAACAACAGCAACAGCATTATCGGCAACAACAACTGATAATATACAAACAGAAATACAATCACCAGAAATAACAGATATTCCAACAAAACAATCACAACAATTATCACCATCATCATCAACAGCAACAACAGCAGTGACCAATAAAGAAATGTTAACAAATAAAACAGGACAACAAGAAACAAATGATGACAATAAAACAATAACAATTGGTGAACAAACACAAGAAAATGTACTAACAGCAGCAGCTGAACCATTAGCGGAAAAAGAACCAGGTTCAATAACAGCAAGATCAGTAACAACATTGGCAGGTGGTACAATAATGACAAAAGGAATGATGAATTCAAATAAATCGAAAAAAACTAAATCACCATTATCAAAACGATTACAATCACCATTATCGAAAAGATCACCAGCAAAACTATCGCAATCAAAACGATCACCATCGAAACGATCACCATCAAAATTATCGCAATCAAGACGTTCACCATCGAAAAGATCACCATCAAAACTTTCAACTTCACGGCGATCACCATCAAAACGATCACCATCAAAACTATCAACTTCACGACGATCACCATCTAAACGATCACCATCAAAACGATCACCATCAAAAAGTTCACCATCCAAACGAATGAAAACACCTAAAAGTAATCGTACAACAACAAAAAGATTTTCAATTGTAACAAAAACACCAAGTCCAACAACAATATCCAAATTAAGAATGGATACTGAAAAAAGTGGTGGTGGTCGTACTGGTGATGTTAATGAAAAAACCGGTGCTGGTGGAACATATCAAACATTATTACAAACAAGATCACATATGAAAAATGTTGATGATAATGGTGGTGGTATTGGTGGTCCAATAACAATGAAATTTGTTAAGACAAGATTACAACCACCAAACAAAACAAAAAAATCAATAAAATCAATACAATCAAATAAATCGGCAAATAAAAAATCATTTTTTAGAAGAGTTAAAACAGCAGCTAAAACATTGAAAATGAAACGAACAACAAAAAGTCCAACAACAAAAACAGCAATAACAACATCAACAAAACGAAGTAAATCAAAAACATTTGCTGGCGGTGGTAGTAAAAAATCAAGAATGAGTAAATCAAAAGCAGCTAAATCAAAAACTTTAACAAAAAAATCTACATCAAAAAAATCGAAAAAACTACCACCAATCAAACAGACAATGATTGCAGATGATACAACAACAACAACAGCATCATCGGCAACAAAAATTGAACCAACAACCAATATTATGCCAGAAACATTAAAATTTTTAGAAAAATCTAAAGAAAATTTGACCGAAACACAACCACCACCACCACCACCACCACCACCTGCGACAATAGTAACAGAGGAAAAATCTAAAGAAAATAATTTTGTCGAACCAACATCATTTGATTTGACAGAATCAAAAGCAGTTGCTGAATCTATTGAATTATCGCCGATACCATCAATGACTGACAACAAACAACAACCAACAGAAAAATCATTATCAATGACTAAACAACAGCAACAACAACAACAACAAAAAACGGAAAAATCAGTTTCAAAATCATTATCAATGACCAAACAGCAGCAGCAACCTACAGAATTAGCAAAAACAACAACAGAATCACAGCCGGAAAGATCATCTTCTGTTAGGCAACAAATATCTGTAGATAGTTTTAAATTTTCACCATCAATTGGAAAAATTTCATCAAAAAAATCTAAATCCAAATCAGGATCATTAAAAGTAAAAGACTCTAAATCAGGATCATTAAATGTTAAAGAATCAAAATCAGGACAAACATTAACAGCTACAGAATCAAAAACAATTGGATTAACAGCAGCAGGTGCTGCTGATTCAAAAACAATGGAATTAACTGCTGTTGAATCAAAAACTACAGGATCATTAAAAGCAACCAAATCTAAATCAGGTTCATTGAAAGCTAATGAATCAAAAACAGGGTCATTGAATGCAACCAAAACTAAATCAGGATCATTAAAAGCAACCAAATCAAAATCAGAAGTTAAAGCCAATAGTAAAATTAAAAGACAAATATCACCCAGTAGCTTTCGAAAACATATAAGTAGGATTTTGTTTTTGTTTTTGTTGAGAAAATTTTGAAATCATTTTTTCTCTCTCTCTTTAAGATTCTAATGCAAGTACGGTGGATATTTTTGGTGAAAAAGATTCGGTATTTTTTCGTTCACCAATGGTATATGGTGAAACGGATGAAGATGATGATCTAAGAGTACGATTTAATCCATTTCTTGCCGGTGTTCCATTCTATACTCGTTATAGTCCTGATGGTAATTGTTGTTTCTGTTTGATTGAAAAAAAAATTTTAAAACTTTTTCAAATTTTTTGAAATTTTAAAATTTACCTTTTAGAATTGGATATGATGGTCAGTGTAAAACATGGTGCAGGTCATGCAGCAAGTAAATCAAATTTATCAATTTCAAAATCAAAAACATCATTAAAACGAACAAAATCAGCAACGCAAACAGAAATGATTTCAAGATCACCGGTAAAAACAACCATAGAAAAAACAAAAGAAATTGCTATAGAAGCTACATATCTGGATGGATCATCATCATCAACAAATTTAGATTCAACACATTCAACTGGATCAACAACGATACCGACAGAAAATGTTTTAAGTTCAGGATCATCATCATCATCGAGATTGAAAACATTGCCGGAAAAAAGTGGTACAGCTAGCACAACATTATCAGGATCAACAACAACAACACCAACAAGTGAAAGTGATAATAGTTCAACAATGAAAAATAATAATAATAATAGTCGAAAAAAAGGTAAAACAAAAACAATAAAAAGTAATAAAAGTAATAAAAGTAAAAAGACAACAACAACAACAAATAAAAGTACAAAAGTATCAGCTAAATCAGCTAAATTAACTAAAAAAAGTAATGCAAAAAGTAGATCAGCAAGTAGAAAATGATTTTCGAATCAAAAAAAAACCAGAAAAAACGAATTCGAACGAATGATGTGTGAGAACCAAATGTGTGAAAATAGTTGTCACATTTTTTTTTTGTTTTGCTTATTTGGCAAATCTCGTGTTTGTCTGTTTGTTTTTTTCTCAATAAATTTTCATTTTAAAATTGTTAATTTGAATTTTAATCTTTTCTGTTTTCAACGAAAAAAAGCATGGCTGTAAGATTGAATTATTTGATGAAATTCTTTGAAAATTTATTCATTTTTTCTTCCTTGATTTAGGGCCCAACCAAAGGTGGTAAACAAGCAACTAAAGGACAGAAACAAATTTATCTGGAAAATAATGAAACAATCAAACATTATACTTATATGTCTTCCATATCGACGGTATTTATTTTGTTGTTGTTTTTTCTTTTTCTAAATTGTTGATGTTTGACATTAACATTCGATTTTTAAAAAATCTATTTAGCTAATCTATTTGATTGTGATGTTAATTTATTGGAGTGATTTATTGTTTACATTCAAATATATTGTGAGTATGATAATTTGATGTTGTTGCAAACTAATGGATAATTCTTATAAAAATCAAAGTCAGGATTCATTTTCTGTTTATTTATTCATGGATTTTCACTTTCAATGATGAAATATATGGCCAAACCGGTATTCAATTCTACCGGTTCATTGGTTGATGGTGGTACTGATCTCAATATGGAAAAAGGATTTGCTGAGTATGGTTTTTTTTCTCCTGTTTTTGTTTGATGAGACTAAATTTGATTTTCTATTTACAGACATTTTAAAGATTTAATTATCATCAATTCATTGATTCAAGTTTTATCATTATTTTCCAATTATTTTTGGTATTGTTGGTGTTTTGTAAGTTTTGGTTGATTTACCTTATTTTCTCATATTCTAATCGTCGATTTTTTTCTATTTGTTCGAACCAGGTACCAATATATGCATTCTATTCATTATGGGTAAATATTTTAGGACCATGGTTTTTTGCACCACCACCAGCCGAAGAACAAGTTGATGAAAAAAAGCAACGAAAAATGGAAAGAAAAATGCGTCGTATGGCTAATTGAAACGACAAAAATGAATGAATGAAACGACACCAAATCAATTAATCAAATGGAAAACATATTTTAAAAAACAAAAAACAACTAGATTGGATGTTTGTTTGTTTTGTAAAAAAAATTATTGTTTTTATTTGTAGAAATTTTTTTTAAAAAATAAAATAAAAAATGAAAATAAAAATGTTTCAATTTCTGTGCACAAGATGGCGTACAGTTATATATAGAATCCACATTGGAACAATCATTTTCACTTTGAGACTCGTGTTTGATAAAAATATTTTGTCAATTTTAGTGATAATTCGAAATTCAAAAATGTCAAGTCGATCGGGAAGAAAACGTGGTACTAATCGTGCCATTGTTGATTTTGATTCGGTCAATGATCAACCACAAACAAACAATGCTACTGGATCAAATGTTAATGATGAATCGAATAATGATTTTATTGCTGGTACTAATGTTACCGAAACTGAAGTTTTAATCTCGAATTGTATTCGTTATATATTGCTTAATGAAAATTTAAAATTATTGATTAAACAAGCTGATATTAATAAACATTTAGGTGAATGTTTTAATCTTGATCGTTCGAAAATGAATCATCTTATGAGAATGGTTTGTTTGTTCGATTATATTATCTTTTTGTCTTTTCTAATTAAAATCAATTCATTTGTTTTCAGGTAACCAAACGATTATGGAAAGATTTTGGAATGCTTTTGATCGAAGTTGAAATTACACCACGATCATATCTTTTGTATACTATATATGAAGATGATTTACTAACGATAACCGAAAAAAATAATTCGGATGATGATGATGATATTTCATTCGATGAAACATTAGTACCGGAAAATATTGATGATGAAGAAGAAGCTAATGATGATGATTTAGATTTTGATGATCTTACCTATGAAGAAGTGTTAGATAATAGTAAACGTATATTAATGATTATTATTTTATCATTTATTTTATTGGAAGATGAAGAAAAAATAACCGAAAATGAATTATTCAATGGACTGAAAGAAATTGGCCTTTGTATTGATCATAAATATGAAATAGCACGTGATTGTTGTTTTAAACAAAATATCAAAGAATTAATAACAAAAGAATTTGTACGGAAATCATATTTGAAACGTACAAAAATATCACAAACGGATACAAATTTATCACCGGATTATCTTTATGAATGGGGAATACGTTCAAGATTTGAATTCAAACGTAATGATATTTTAGATTTTATTAAAAATATCTATGATGGTGATGAAATACATATGAATCTTTTGTATGGAAAAATTGATAATATGGAAAAACAACGTGAACTGTTGATTGAAAATACAATCAGATATTGTGATGATGGTCAACAATCGATTGCCAACAACAATAATCAAATATCAAATGACGTTGAAATGGTGGAAATCGTTGAGAATGTAGTGAATAATAATAATTCTTCAAGACGATCACAACGTCATGAACAGATTGAAAATCAAATTACTCAATTATCCGCATCAACAACAACATCGAATCGAAATGAACAAAACAAAACAAAACGACCAATAAGAAAATGAAAAAATCAAAAACAATTTCATTATTCACCATTGTTGTTTGTTTGTTTGATTTAATAATGCTATTAACCAAAACAAGAAAAAAATTTGAGTAAATAAAAACTTTTAAATGATGTTTGATGGAAAGAAAAAAAAAATTTCTATATTTTTTTAAAATAAAAAATTTTTTCGCTTTTTAGAAATAGATAACTTCTTTCTCTGTTTGTTTAACTATAACTTTTTTTCGGTGATTTTTTATTGATAGAAAGTGAACATCAGTTAACAAGGAAAATTATGAATAAAAAAGAACAACAACATTTGGCAACCAAAATACCAAAACAATGTTTAAATAATGATTGTATGTTTTATGCATCCGAACAATTTAATGGATTTTGTTCGACATGTTGGAATAAAGTTGAACAACAAAAACTGAATCAACCATCATCATTACAACTGCAAAAACAACAACGACAAAGACCAAAATCCAAACATGAACCAAATAATCAATTACGTCCATTTTATTCGGAAATATTTCGACCAACATCACGAACAACAACATTTCGTTCATCCAGTTATGAACGATCGAAATTATCAATAGCACCGAAAAGATCAAATATTATAATTAAATCCATACGTATGGAATTGGATATTGAACAGAATAAGATTGGTAATTTAAATTTAAATTCAAATTCAAATGATGATGAAATGAAATTATTATCAGCGAAACAAACAGCAGCAAATAATGAAAATTCAATGGAAAAATTTGATATTTTAAAAAATTCAACCATTCAATTGTCATTGAGCGATACAAACACTGATGGCAGTATCGGTAGTTGTAATAATGATAATTTACAAAAGAAAATTAAACGTAAAAAAGATGCTGAAATCAATAATAACAGCAATAATAGTAAAAATCGTTGCCAAATCTGTACACGTAATATACAAATTATTGGTTTTGATTGTAGATGTGGTGGTCGGTTTTGTATTGAACATAGATTAGCAAAAGAACATTGCTGTCAATTTGATTATCGTCAATATGGTATTAATGAATTAACAAAAGCTAATCCGAAAATTATTGGTGATAAAATTAGAAAAATCTAAGAAAAAAAAATCTAAAATAACAATTTTTTTTTGTTTTTCGTTTGTACGTTTTTTTGTACGTTTTTCTTGCTTTCATTCATTTACTTTTTTGGGGGTTAATCAAAACAGAAGAAGAAGAAATTTGTGAAAAACAAACTTGGGTAAAAATATTTCAATGAATTTTTTTGAACACCCACGCAAACTGACACCCAAAAGGCAGAATTCTGTTTTTGATATTTGAATTTTTCTTAAATAAATATCAACAAACAAAAACAGAAAAATCATCATCAATAATGTTGATGTGTTAATGTGTACTGTACTATTTTTTGCATCAGGTGTAATTTTAAAAAGAGTTTGAAGGAGAGGAACATTGAAAAAACTTGATGAAAAAGGATGATGGAAATAAATTTTCCACAAAGAAAATTCAAATGAAAATATGGTCAGAAAACAGGGGGGAAAAGCAAAAAAAATTTATGGTTTTGCTTCCCCCCGACACACACACAGGATTATCATCATTATTGTTGTCGATCGACGAAACAAAACGAAGCAAGATTCTTGGTGCGAAATTATTTAGTTTTGTTGTCTGTAAATAGGTTTTTTGATCCTAAACTAAACTGAAAAAAATTTCAACATAAATTTCTCAAATAAACTGATCGCATTCATCATTGACTTTCATCATTTGAATTCCTATAATCACATATAATGATGATGATGAATTTCAAAATCAAAAAAAGTAGTCAAAAAATAACTTTATTATTATGATGATGATCTTTGAATATAAAACCGACCATAAGATTTTTTTGTTTGTTTTGTTTTTCTGGTTGGCAAACATATATATAAAATAATAATGAACCAAAGTCATAGAACTTTTGGTTTTTCTTCATTCGATTCTCACGAGAATACATGAAAGATAAAAGAAATGAAAGATGAATGTGCCCAGTGTATTTCAAGTACATGTTACGAATATAAATGTTTGCAAAATTCAGATATATGATGATGACGATCTGTTGAGAAATTTCTTATTCGTGGGAACCAAACAAAAAACTAACAGAATTTTTCCAATTAAATGATTGTTGGAAAAATTACACTTGAATGATTATATTGTGTCATATTTTGAATCATTGATCAATAATCGATTGATTTATGGAATCGATAAATTCAACTATACAGAATTTTTCCAATTAAAGAAAAAATTCAATTTCAAAAATGTTTTCCTTGATTTGTTTTCAATTACACACAGAAAAATGAAACGTAAAATAGTTCGATTTTTTGCCAAAAAACCATAACATTTTTGGGTTTTAACGTCATCCACAAAATGNGCCCAAACATTTCATGGATTTTTTGTTTTGTCCCAATATTTCATGATTTTTTTTGCTAGCCTCAATATTTCATGGATTTTTTTGTTAGCCTCAATATTTCATGAAAAATTTCTGGACTTAGAAAATTTTTTTTCATTTTTTGGATTAATCAAAATTTCATAATAAAATATGTACAATTTGACACTCGGCCAAACATATCGCGTTTGCAATGAATTTGCGAAGTTGGATCTACAAAAAAAATGATTGATTTGAAACCACGTTTCAATGAGAATGGAATCCTATCCTATCNTATTTCATGGATTTTTTTGTTAGCCTCAATATTTCATGAAAAATTTCTGGACTTAGAAAATTTTTTTTCATTTTTTGGATTAATCAAAATTTCATAATAAAATATGTACAATTTGACACTCGGCCAAACATATCGCGTTTGCAATGAATTTGCGAAGTTGGATCTACAAAAAAAATGATTGATTTGAAACCACGTTTCAATGAGAATGGAATCCTATCCTATCCTATCTTCCGGACAGAATAATCATACAGACAAAATGGATGTTTCCTAAGCAAATTTTTTTCAATAGGGCTAAAGAAGAAGGTATTGGATTGGATCTTCCTTCATTTGNTTTTTTTTGCTAGCCTCAATATTTCATGGATTTTTTTGTTAGCCTCAATATTTCATGAAAAATTTCTGGACTTAGAAAATTTTTTTTCATTTTTTGGATTAATCAAAATTTCATAATAAAATATGTACAATTTGACACTCGGCCAAACATATCGCGTTTGCAATGAATTTGCGAAGTTGGATCTACAAAAAAAATGATTGATTTGAAACCACGTTTCAATGAGAATGGAATCCTATCCTATCCTATCTTCCGGACAGAATAATCATACAGACAAAATGGATGTTTCCTAAGCAAATTTTTTTCAATAGGGCTAAAGAAGAAGGTATTGGATTGGATCTTCCTTCATTTGTCTAAGATGAGTTCCTAATATCTAATTTGGTTAAAAAATATGAAGGGGTCAGATGTGGCAATTTGATCATGAAGCCAAAACTAGTGGCTGTTGTCCACGCTGGCTTCGTAAACAACTTATAACCTAAAATTGCTTTTGAATATCAGATTGGATTCATGATCGATTCATGAAAAGATTTGGTAAATCGATGTTTGTTCGATTGAGCCATAACAATTGAACTTGAAATTTGAAACAATTCGCTAACATTCGAAACATTGTTAATAATTCAATTAAACAATTGAAATAATTCGAATCCAGCATTTTTGTTTTTAAACGAAGTTTTTGTTTTTCGTTTGCCATTTGACTATTTTTCGAATCAGAAAATATTATTTTGNCATTTTGTGGATGACGTTAAAACCCAAAAATGTTATGAATTTTGCCGTATATTTTACGACTTTATTTTTCTGTGTGTATTATCAAAAAAAAAAATTGTAATATTTGAATCAACGAAAAAAACCAGCAAATTCTTGTCCCCAGAATTTTTTTTTTAATTTCCTTTTCAAATTTGTCAGTTGTTTTTCGCTGTAGTTTTTCATTTGTTTTTCTGTTTTCGTTTTGTTTTTTTGTTGTTGTTTTTCCGCTTTTTTTTGTCGCACAATGCCGGTCATTTCGCATTTCCGTCATTCATTCATTCAATCAATATCAATCTATATCAGTAGTGTGTGTGAAAAAAAGGAAGAAAAACAAATGAAAAAAAATCATCCATTTTAATTTTGGAAACGAAAATGTGAAAACAAAACAAACAAACAAACAACAAGAAAAACAAATCAAAATTGATTTTATAAGATTATATTTTTGTTAATGAAAATCGTGTGTGTCTGTTTGTTTTGTTTCTGTTTTTGCTTTTCTGTTTTCGTTTCTGTTCTGTTGTTTTTGACTAAATTCAATTGATGATTGATATAATTATCACATGGTCGAATTGAAATTGAATTTGATTTCGGTGTTGGTCATCATCATCATCATTTGGAGAAATTGAATTTAAATGAAATTCAAATCAATTTGATTTTCTGTTCTGTTTTTCTCTTTTGTCAATTTGAATTGCATTTCGTTGGATTTTTTTTTTGTTCCTTTGAAAATTCAATGAATCGAAAAAAAAATTTCCAGTTTTAAATGGACCAACAACGAAGAAAAAATGGGAAAAAAAACTCGCAAAACAAAACAGAAAACATAATAAATTCATTTCCAGTCAACAAAATAATTAGTGAATTTTGATGAATTTTGGAATGGAAACGAAGGGAAAAACATTATAGTGAAAAGAGTGCAATTTTGGAAAATGAAAAATTTTGTTTTTGTTTTTAATGAAATAAAATCGATTTTTGTTTGTTTTGTTTGAATTCTGATGATAATGATAGATTTTTTTTTTCTTATTGATAATTATCATTATCATTAAACAGTTTTAATTATTATTCGGATCGATATGGTTTTTTTTCATCATTTCATTAATAATTTCTTCATCATCAATAATAATATTGAAGATTAATTAATTGTTGTTGTTGTTGTTGTTGTTTGGCCAATAACAACAACAACAACAACAGAAGCAACAACAACAACAACAACAACAACAGAAGCAACAACAACAACAACAACAACAATTAACGATAATGATAATGATGATGAGAAACATTAAACGATGATGATAGAATCAATATCAAAACTTTTTGATCAAGTAGTTTTTTCTCTTCTCTTTTGACCTTTACGATTGATGAAAAAACGAAAAAAAGGGCAAAATTCTCATTCTTCTTCTTTGATTGCTTGTTCGGTACAACCAAAAATTCTTTCATCGTTTTCATAGATCGGATTTCATTCATTTCATTCATTCAGGATTTTAATTTATTTTCATAGATTTTATTTTCGGTTTGTTTTTTATTCATTTTGTTCAAACATTGTCAATGTGCGATATAAAAATAGAACGCCAATAATAATAATAATAATAAACCTGAATAATAAGCAAACATTCAACCAACCAACCAGCCAATAAACAAGTGTGGATAGGGGGAAAAAAATTAACAATCAGCAGAAATGTTACAAAATGAATATTCTTGTATCGAACGCATAGGCAAAATGTGTCACATAGCATCAGATTCATTTTTTCTGTGTTTTGTGTTTTTTGCATATTCATTCAGTTTCATACGGTAAACATTTCTTTTGTTTTTTTCGGTTCGTTTTTTTCAAATTCCAGATGCGCAAGATTTTCCAGTAAAAAAAATCAGTACCGAAAACAAACAGAGAGAATTCTTCGGATAGAATTCTGTAAAATTCAGGCGCCGGATTCGAATTGATAGAAAAATTCTTGTTTTTCGTTTTTTGCGCATTTCGATAAACCAGTACCGAATAAACAGCATAGAAAACACTGAACGCAGACACACTGAGGACAAGAATCAAATCAATGAAAAGCGATATATAAAAATTGAACGACGAAGAAGTTGAAGGAAAACCAGACAATGAAATATATTCCATAACCAGTTGGTATTTGGTTACAAATCGAAACAGATCAGACTGGAAATGAAATAGAATCTTTTTCTTCGGTTGCTTGTTGCGTGATTTGTTTTGTTGTTTTTAAATAAGAAAAAAATTATCAACCTTAATTGATATTTTGTTGTTTTTTGAAATTCGTGATATCCATTGATATATTTTTGTTCAAGAATTTTTACTTTTGTTTACTCTGTTGTTGTTGTTGTTATTGTCATTTGAATTTGTTTGCTGGTTTGA